GGGTAGGCACCAGAAGGAACAAAATACATTTAAGTGCGGCCATTTGCCCCCAGATAAATTCCAAACTAGTTGTGCATGTATTTATTCCAGGCAAAATAATAGTCCCCCAAGAGATGCACCTCTTAATCCCCAGAACCTATGGATATGTTAACGTATGTGGCCACGGGGAAATAAGGTAGCAGGTGGAATACAAAATGGGGATCCTCTGACTTTAAAATGGTGAGGTTAGCCTGGGTTATCCAGGTGCGCCCAAGGTAACCAGGGTCCTCAGAAGCAGAAGAGGGTGGCAAGAGAGCCACGGGAACACGTGGCTACAGAGGACAGGCACGGAGGGACGCAGCCGTGTCGGCGTGGGAGACGGAGAAAGGGAGCCAGGCCCAGGGAAGGAAGGCAGCCTCGGTGCATGGAAGGCGAGAGGAACAAGGAGAAGATTCTCCCCTAGAGCCAGAGCCTCCAGAAACTCTAGAGCCCGTGTCACCTTGATTCTGGCCCAGGGAGAGCCCTTTTGTACTGCTGACCTCCGAAACGGTGAGATGATGAACCTGTGTCGTTTCAAGCCACAGAGTCTGTGGCATTTGTTGCGGCAGTGAGAGAAAACGGATACGAGCGCCTCCTTGGTGCTCCCTGACCAGTTCAGGGCTCGGCACCGGGACGCAGTGCAGAGACAGCCACTGCCTTGACCCTCTCGCAGCTCACACTCCGGTGGTGTAGACGAGAGGCTGCAGCATGGGCAATGAAGGAAAACCGAAGAGAGGTGGACAGAGAGTCTAACAGAATGGGGATGGTGGGTCTAGATGGGGGTGAGGGCGGCATCTCTGTGAAGGTGATGTCTCAGCCTAAAGGACGAGAAGACGCTGACGGGAGAGAATTCCAGGTTGAGGGGACAACCCGTGCAAAGGCCCTGGGGTGGAAAAGAGCTGGGCACATTCCAGTCACTGGGGCAAAACCAATGCGATGGGAGCACAACCGGCCAAATACAGGGAAGTATGAGGTGACGCGAACGAGCTAGGAAAAGCCCGTCATGCTGGGCCTCAGAGGTCTCAGCGCCAGTTTGGATGATCTGCTAAGAGTTCTGGGTCTACAGGGTTTTGAATACAAGACTGACATCGTGCAATTCAAAGGTAAGAGGATCCCTTCTGCTGCTGTGCAGAGGAAGGGATTGAAATGGGCTCTTCTCCATGTAAAGAGATGACAGTGGCTCAGACTGATAGCTATGGAGATGGGCAGGTTCGAGACGGACTTTGAAAACAGAACACAGACTGGCTGACGGGCTGCACGTGAGAAGGCATGGGTAAAGGAATCACAGAACTTTTCCCGTCCTTGTTTTTGTTGCCACTGCTACTGTTTTCTTAAGCAAGAGGGAGACAAGAGGTGGGGAGCACCTTTCTCCATACACTAGTGAATTCCGGCACGCATGTTCATTCATTCAATGAGTATTGATTGAGTACCGAGTGTGCACCGAGTGGTTTCAGGTATTGCGGATATGGCAGTAAGCTCAATGTAAAGCCCTTCTCCCTGATGTTCCAAGTCTGGTGTTAAGCAGACAATGAACAGATAAAGGAAAAAATGTATAATGAACTTTCAGGTAGGCTATAAAAAAATAAAGCAGGGAATTGGCACTTTAGATGGGATGTAGATACTCGAAACCACGAGTTCATTATTTAGTCTCACTGGGCAATAGAGATATTAATTGTGTGGTAATAACTGCAAAAGGAGTTGTCATGAGCCCTGAGGCAGCTACATCTTTTTCCATCAAAAAGTGTTGTATATTGAATCTTGAATTGGGCCATGGAGGATGCCTTGACTGAATGATTGATTTTAGAGAGAGGAAGGGAGAGGGAGAGAGAGAGAAACACCGATGAGAGAGAACATCGCCTGGTCGCCTCCTGCATGCCCCCCACTGGGGACCGGCCCACAACCTGGGCATGTGTCCTGACCAGGAATCAAACTGCGACCTCTTGGTGCATGGGTAACGCTCAACCACTGAGCCACACCAGCCGGGCTGTTTTTGATAGAAGGAAAGGAGTGGTTAGAAAAAAGAGTAAGAATAAACAGTGGAGGTGAGAGAACGGGAAAACAATGGGAAGGGCACTGCCAGGAGTCAATTACAGCCGACTTTCCAACCTAGAGACCACACCTTCTTAGTGACGCTCAGATGCCCATGTTCCTTGATTTCAAGACAAAGGAAGGTGTGAGTAGGAAGTCCAACCAGGCTCACAAATGAACACGCATGCCTGCGCGGTATGATTTGTGTAGAATGTTTAAATTCAGAAGTCCCCTACAAAAATAAAATTTCCTTTTTATTCAGATATCACTGAAATCGGGAAGACCAGAAAAACACTGCTTTCCAAAACAATAAAAGCTGTCATGGAGCTAGTCTTTTGAAATTTCTCAGTGCTAAAAATAGAAGGCTAGCAAAATGCTGAGCACATCACAAACACAGAGGATGTTCGACTTGACGCTTCCTGCTGGCAGGAGCTGAGCTGACAGCTTCCAGGCCAGACCTAGTGCACAACAGGTACGTGTGATGATGTAATAAAATAGAGCTTAGTATAGCTGAGCAATAAATGAGTAAAACAACAAAGTGTTACTGTACAACTATTGCATACAGAAGTCTTCTGTTCCTGGAAGCAATGCCCGGGACACGGCCTTGAGTGAAAATGTTTACTATCCATTTATCGATCAGGGAAAAGACTTTTGTAAAAATCAAACATTCATTAAGCCACTACCGCTGAGTATGCGACACTATGCCAGACGAAGGTAAGTCAAGATACACATCACAATAGAATTTTTCTTTTTGAGAGGTTTCTATCCTGGAGAGATAAATAAATAAAAATAAAAATAAAGCATGAAAGTGATGATGGTGATTGATGATGATAAAAAGGAAAATGGGGAGAAGGAGAATACCCACGATTTATTGAGATCTTACTATTTGTTCAAATTTTATTTAAATTGCTTTATATTTACCATCATATCTAATCCATAAACCACCCTATGAGAAATCACTAGTTTTAGCCACATTTTACAAATGATAAAAGAGAGAGAGTAAGTAACTTGCCCAAAGTCACACAACCTACAGATAGCAGAGATGGGGTTCAAACTCCTGTAGCCCATGCTCAAAATCCTGTTTTATACTGCCTCCCTACCCATCAGGTAATGAGGGGGCACTGGATCTACAGAGAAAGTGTCGGTGAGTGCAAATTGCAGCCTCATGTTTCATATTAAACATAATGCCCTGGCCGGTTTGGCTCAGTGGTTGGAGCATCGGCCTGTGGACCAGAGAGTCCCGGGTTCGGCCCCCGCTAGGGGCACGTACCAAAAAAAAATTTTTTAAATAAAATAAACATAACAAAAGTCAGCAGCTATTTACTCTACCAAAGTGTATATGAAGACTGCTGCTCTCTAGCAGGAAAGCAGAAGAAAAACTACTTTCTTTCAGAGGTTGTAATTAGCATCATCACAACCATGGAGAATGACTTCAATGACATCATATTTCCAGCCTCTGCTGATAAAACAAAAACCAAATCAAACTTCAGTTCATCAAAAATGCAGATTTTGCCCTGGCCTGTTTGGCTCAGCAGTTAGAGAATTGGTCCAATGACCGAAGGGTTGCAGGTTCGATCCCCAGTTTGGCAAACAATCGATGTGTCTCTCACATCAATGCTTCTCTCTCTCTTCCTCCCTCCCTAGCACTCTCTCTAAAAATCAATAGAAAACTATCCTCTGGTGAAGATTAACAACAACAAAAATGCAGATTTTGTTATTCAACTATTGAAATTACATTTTGAAAACAAATGATCTGGAGAAAAGTCTATTATAATACTATAAATGTTTAGTGATAAAAGCAGAGTACAAAACCATGTATATACTATACCATATTCCAATTTGTACATAGGAAAAAAACTCCTTAACCATATATAAGTTAAAATGTACTTTTTTTTTAAACTATAGAGAAATGTAAATACTGTGATGATTCTGTGTAATGATATTTGGAGTTATTTCTATTTTCACTTTTAATTAGCTTCTATTTTCCAAGTTTTCTAGATGGGTTATAGTATTCCTTTATCAGGAAAAGTTTAATCTCAAACTATACACACACACACACACACACACACACACACAAATCTACACACATATTATTGAAAATCAAATAGAAGTGATAGTGGTGTTATTTACAGATTATTACTAAATTTATAAAAGTCCAATTGATAGATTGAAAAACTCTAGAAGTAGCAAGGATAATATATTTCTTCTTGATTCATTAAGTCTAATCTACAATGTCATTAATATGATGAAAGACTATTTTCCTAGCTCAGGGGAGTGTGAAATAGACTTTTCTCCTCTAGATGAACGTCTTTTACCTGGAGTCAGAGACTCAAATACAATGGGGAAAAAGTGCAAACACACTTTAACGCTTCCTGTAATTTTTCCAGAAATCCAGTGTGAAAGAGATGAGATGGATCTTAGCTAAAAGGGAAACGAGTTATCATTTCTCACCACTCCGGACAGAATCACAGGAGCCAGAGGAAGATGGCCCTTGGACCTTGGTTACATGGACCCCAGCTCCCAGGGCCAGAGGGTCAGGCCCCCTCCGACATCCAGATGAGGCAGGATGGCTGATGAGATCACCCTTCGTGCACATTGCCTGACAAACACGTCGAGAGTCTACTCTGTGTTTTAAGAAAAGTGAAAAGGAGTATTTGTGAAAGTAGAGATGATTCTGTCTTTTGCAAAAGTTTGAGAGGTAGGTAAATAAAGACATTTCACGCTCATCTTTGTCTCACTTGCACTAACATATTGTACAAGAACGCAATAGGACAGGGTGCAGACTGTGGTTAACTTGAGAAGCAGTCTCCAGCTAATTGGTGCCATGTTCAAATCTCAAAATGTAGTCTGCAACAGAATTACCTGGCAATCCTTTTATTTATTTGTTTATTTATTTATTTATTTTTAAATAATGAGCCATTTTTAATAAATAAGGCAGTGGCAGTGGACAACTACTACTCATTAGTAGCTTTTTGGGAATACACTATCAAGTGTGCCCATTCTGCACTCTTCTTAATGCCGGCGAAGATCATTTCTGTTCCAGGGAGGTACTTCTTGGGAGTCTCCGAATACTCCACCAGTGTAGCCTCTCCCCAGGTGCTGCCTTTGTTCTTATTGGCACCCATGTAAGAAAATCCAGGGGGCTGACCTGCTTTTTGCCCAAAGAGACCATGGAGATTTGGCCCGGTCTTGTGCTTGTCTCCCTTTTCCACCGTATGGCGCTGGGCACGTTTCTGGACAAAAATCTTCTTGCCTTTCTCAGCATCACCCATTCCTAGACCACCCTTTAGTCGCATATGGTGCCCAGACTCTCACTTGCAAACCGGACGTCCGGCTCTCTTACCTGGGAATCTTATTAAAATTAAAGCTCCTGTCCACCCAGTGTGGCTCGGTGGTTGAGCATCGACCCATGCACCAAGAGGTCGCCGGTTCAATTCCCAGTCAGGACACATGCCCAGGTTGCGGGCCAGATCTCTAGTAGGGGGCATGCAGCAGGCAGCCAAATGATGTTCTCTCTCATTGATGTTTCTATCTCTCTCTCCCTCTCCTTTCCTCTCTCTCTAAAATCAATAAAGAAAAAAAAATTTTTTTAATAAATAAAATTAAAGCCCCTGAACCACAAAACCCAAACTTCCATTCACTTGGTCCAGAGCAGGGTTCTGGGACCTGTATTTTAATAATTGCCTTAGATCTGTACTATCGAATAAAAATATAATGTGTAGTACAGCTGCATACCACATGTGTAACTTTATGTTTTCTGGTAGCCACATTTTCATAAGTAAAAAGAAACTGAAGAAATTAAATTTAATGTATTTCATTTCACTTCAAATATCTATTATTTCCACATGTGATCGATATTAATAAAATTATAATTTTCTACCGAGTCTTCCAAACAGGGAATGTATTTTACACTTGCCGTATACCTCCATTCATAGTAGCCATGTTTCAAGTGCACAGTTATTATTGCAAGAGGTTTATCTTTTTCGCTCAGTTTTGTGAAAGTCATCCTTCCATTGATGTCCATTGCTCAAGCATAAGCTGCTTGTCTGAGTTGGGGCTGCTATACCAAAATACCACACACTGGGGGGCAGGGGTCATAGACCACGGAAATCTACTTCTCCGAGTTCCAGAGGCTGGATGTCCCGGATCAGGGTGCTGGGGGCCCTCTTTCCCTGCACACTTCTCATGTCCTCACGTGGTGGAAGGGCTGGAGAACTCTGTGGGGTCTCTTTTATAAGAGCTTAATCCCATTCATGAGGGCAACATACATTTACTGGGGGGACACAAACATTCAAACCACAGCAGTGTACATAACTAGACAATGTATTTGGCCACTATCATTTGCTCCAAACATTCCTCTCCAGACTGGAATAGGAGGCCAAGGTCCCAGTCCCAGGTCTGCCTCATATGATCTCCCATGACCTTGGCCAAGGGGCCTCTTCACCAGCCAAGCTCACAATTTCCGTACCTACATGTAAATCGCTTGAACTGGCATCACTCAGAGATCCTTCTTAGCAACTCAGTAGCTCTAACAAGTGGATTATCTGCCCTTTGGTCCCAAGAAAAGGCCATTTTTCTTTTCTTCTGAATTCCTTTGTTTTGTGATTGTTCTTAGAGAGTTAAAAGGCCTCCCTTCGGCATGAGGACCTGCTCAACCCTTTACATAGCCTACCAGGTGTTTTCGGTTTCTGTGAGGCTGTGTGAAAGTGAGTCATCACCAACCTCGAAGGAAATCTGGGAGACCTGATGTGGTGCGACAGAGTCAAAGAAAGACCATTAGAGAACTGAAGTCCAAATAAGAGCCATTTATTAGCCAGCCGGCATCTGATTCCGAACACCCCTGTGACAGAGTCTTTGGAGATCAGCCTCAATATGCTTTATTACATGCCTTTTATACCTTACAGCAAAAGTTTAATGATAGAAGAAAATAGGATCTTCTTGATATGATGCCCAGGGCTACAACAATGCTGTATAGAATTAGTTTTCCTTGCGGATAACAGGAACACCCAAGTATTCAAGGTACATTGGGTCACACTTAGCCCTGAGCTGCACAAACACAACGTAAGCCTAATTCCTTGAGATTGGGGGTGGGGAGGTCAAGTCTCTGACTCAAGACCTCCAGGCTCTGTGAACTCTGTCAGACACGTAGCCAGCTCCCAACAATTTCTTGGTTCAGGGAGCATTCCAAATTTCTTTACAAAACAGGTTCAGCTAGAGGGCACACAGTGACTTTCCCAGTCATCAATTATGGAGCTATAAACAAGTCAGCACAATAATTTACCAATCATCAATTATGGGGTTATGAACATGTCAGTACAGACCCACCTTTCAGAAGAAATGCTGTTCTCATGTTCATGAGTAAGTTGGTGACTTAATGTGGCAGATCATTTCAATTTCTGTTTTATTTAGGACAAGTGAGACAATGCTGATATAACAAGCAATCCCCAAATCTTAGTTGCTTAATATAGAACAAAAGTTTATTTTCTCTCATGCAACTATGGGGGTTCAGAGCTAGTCACCCCAAGTTGTGCCTCTGTGGTATGCAAATTGTTTTTGAACTAAGGGCAACTTTAACTGCGGGCTCAGGAGAAACTTCTGCCCTTCCCTTGACTATCTGGAATAATTTGAATTTGGAACCTTGCCCATAATGGGTGATTAACTAGATAACCTCTCTCGACCTATCTGTAGGGAAGAAAAACTTCTATTTACTAAACTTCTGTTCTTATTATCCTGCAATGACCCTCTGAAGCCACCAAGGTGCATGGCCTCATCCCTAGCTCAGGATGTCTCATATACCTAGAACCCCCTGCTGTCTCTGAACTTTTCCTGTAAGTGGGATCTCTGACACTCTCATGTATGTGGGGTTCCCATATGTGTGTATGCATTAAATTTGGGTATTTGCTCTTGCTAATCTGTCTCATGTCTAATTATTAGACAAGCTGAAGGAACCTTGAGAGTGAGGAAGGTTTCTCCTCCCCTAAACAACCCACCCAATGTGGGTCCACACTGTCCAATTGTATCCCCAGCCCCTCCCCCGGTTCATATGTGAAAGTCCTAACCCTCTATATCTCAGAATGTACCTTATTTGGATGTGAGGTTGTCACAGATTCAATTAATCAAGATAAGGTCAACTGGAGTAGGTGACTCCCTAATCCAACATGACTGGGATCCTCATGCAAAGACCTGCACGAGGGGAGAGTCGTGTGGGGATGAAAGCAGAGATCAACACCTCCAAATATGGCCAACGACCCATCAGAAGCTGGGTGAGAGGCACAGAATAGGTTCTTCCTCAGCGCCCTCAGAAGGAACCAACCCTGCCTCCACCTTGATCTTGTACGTCTGGACTCTAGAACCAAGAAAATACATGTCTATTGTCTCAACTGCTCGGTTTGTGATACCTGGTTCACAGCAGACCAAGCAAGCTAATACGCTGTCCCTCGAGAATCTGAGATAGTGAAGACTTTACCATCTTGTAGCTGTGCCACATGGGACTCCCAGCTTTTCAGCTGTGGACCAGGGAAGGGTTGCCAAGGGCTCCCCTGTGCTCTGGCCCAGAGGTGACAAAGGCCACTTCTGTTCAGAGGCTGTTGGCCAGCACTAGTCCTAGAGGTCCTAACGGCAGGTCTTGAAAACATGGGAGATGTTTGGTGGTCACCCTGTCTGGCACCCTTCCCAACAGGGACCCTCCCCAGAGAGTAAAATACTTTCTTGAGCAAAAGAACACTTTGCTGGGGGGAACTACATAGTCATCCCAGCCCTCCCTTTTGTACGTTTCGGGGAATCAAGGTACCAAGGAGTAAGAGGTCCACGCAGGTTTCAGTTCATTTCAGATGACCCTTATAACTGAACTGTCCTAATTATAACTGGCTGTCAAGAGTATCATGCCCGGTTGCAGTTTGTCCCCGGCCCTGGTCAGTTGTGCGGGTGGAAGCCACTCGATGTGTTCCTTTCACATCGATGTTTCTCTCTCTCTCACTCTGTTCCTCTCTCTCCCTCCCACTCTACCTGAACAAAAAATGGAAAAATGTCCTCGGGTGAGGATAAAAAAAAAAAGAGTGTCATGCCAAGACAGACTTGGGTCTGAATGAGTTCTGAGATCAATGAAGATCGATTGTTTTGGGGAAATGATGAGAGAGAAAGAGAGTATATATACTATGCACTCGCCCCTCCACTTGTAGAGGGAGCAGGCATGGACAATGAGGTGATGTTTATTTCTGGGTCAGCATAGGAAAGAGGTCAGAATGCCTGATTTTAGGCTTCAGTTCCAGATAACATGATAAAAACCCATCCCCAGATATGTGCATCTTTTTATGATTTTCAAGCTGCTTTTACTTATGCTATCTCATTTGGTATTCTCAACAGTCTTGGAAGAAAGATTTTAGATAAAAGGACAGAAAAGTTTCACAGAGGTTAAACAATTTTTCTAAAGTCATGAAGTAGTAGTGGCTTTTGTCACCAGGAATAGAGCCAACGTTTCTCAGGGCTCCTACCAGGGGCCCTCTCCATAACCCTGGGACAGGGGTTAGTATTGTTACTGATCGACAAACCTACTGGTCTCAGATCTAGAAGATTTTTGAAACAGGAAATGAAAACACTTTGTTCAGCAGCCCATTAGTAAGATACACTCTTCAACCAAGTACTGTGTAGGAAATTCTTAAAGTGACTGAAACAAGGAGTTGGTTGCCATTACTTCTCTTGACCTTCAGGACCCAACAGGCATTATTGGTTCTAAGGACGCATGGCTAATGTGTTTTTGTTCTGATGTGTCTGGTGGTAGAGCATTGACAAGGACACCAGAGATGCACCGCTCCGGGATTTAAAAGCTAAGCCAGCGTAGAAATGTAACTGCACAGTGTAGAAATGTAACTGCACAGGAACTCCATTTCTTTCCTGTTTCTTTTTCCTTTCTGTCCCCTCCCTTTCTTAATCATTAAGCCCTTAGGACATCAGATTCTAAGCAGCATCAACCTGTCTTAATAGCAAAGCCCTAGGTCTGTTGACCACAGAAACAGAGTTTTGGTCAAGCTAAAGATAACATCTTGACTTCAGTTGTATTTCAGCCCCAGGGCCATGAAAGTTGACCCTCTGGATCACACCCTCATGAAACCAGACAGAACAAGGCCATGGCTGACCTCAGGACCTAACACAATGATCAGCTACTCCCGGCCCTGGCTGGGTAGCTCAGTTGGTTAGAGCATCATCCAAATACACCAAGGTTGTAGGTTTGATCTCCACTCAGGGCATCTCATACCTAGGTTGCGGGTTCGATCCC